GATGAGCGGACAGCCCACAGCAGCCTGGACCTTTTTAAGAAGGACACGGGTGTGATCTATCGAGTGCTTGGTGTGGACTCCACTCTCGTGCAGGACACCCCTCTCCGATTCCGGGACTGGGCTGTGGTTCTCGCTGACACCCACATTGACTCTGGACAACACTACTGGGAGGTCACTGTGAAAAAGTCCCATGAATTCCGGGTGGGTGTGGCCGAGGTGTTGACGTCACGTGATGAATGCGTGGGCACCAATTCCAGTTCCTGGGTGTTCGCGTTTGGCCAGAGGAAATGGTTTGCTATGACCACTGGAAAGCAGGTCCCAGTGCCCTTGGTGGGGAAACCCGATCAGGTCGGGCTCTTGCTGGACTACGAGGCTGGACGGCTCAGTCTGGTGGACATCCAGAAAGCTGAAGTGGTGTACACGATAAAAACACAGTTCCGCTCATCCATCTGTCCTGCGTTTGCACTCTGGGATGGGGAGTTACTCACACACTCTGGACTGGAGATCCCACCAGAGCTTTAGTGACTCTTCATTCACACATGGATGCTACATGCCTCTTAATGGATAGAGAAGGAGATGTAGGGGCCTTATGAAAAGACTAAGGAAGTCAGTGGGAACATAGCTGCTTTTCACTGCCATTAAACCAGATTTGAGCAAGATTTGTCCATTCAGCTGGTGAATACATCCTCACAGTCTACTGTTTGTGATATGTAGATGAACGAATGAATCCATACATGCACATATGAATACTTGATATGCTTAAAAGTCATTTCTCATTTTGCATCAGTGCCCAAGTACAGTGTTCAGAGAAGTTTTTCAATAAAAAGACATTCTTCACCAGTGATTTTCTTTATTTAGTTTATACATCCATTTTATCTTATCTCATTTCATGTCATTTTGTCCACCTTACACTTTTTCACATTCATATGGAACAAATACACTCCTTTACCTATCTGAATTTTTGTTTTGTTTTTCCAAAACGTCCAGTTTTGTATCCAGCAATAAAGTGAGTCCATGTACCAAGTTTTAAATACAGGTGCATCTCAATAAACTAGAATGTCGTGGAAAAGTTCATTTATTTCAGTAATTCAACTCAAATTGTGAAACTCGTGTATTAAATAAATTCAATGCACACAGACTGAAGTAGTTTAAGTCTTTGGTTCTTTTAATTGTGATGATTTTGGCTCACATTTAACAAAAACCCACCAATTCACTATCTCAACAAGTTAGAATATGGTGACATGCCAATCAGCTAATCAACTCAAAACACCTGCAACGGTTTCCTGAGCCTTCAAAATGGTCTCTCAGTTTGGTTCACTAGGCTACACAATCATGGGGAAGACTGCTGATCTGACAGTTGTCCAGAAGACAATCATTGACACCCTTCACAAGGAGGGTCTTCATGAATAAACTACTTTTTAATGTGCATGCATGCTTTTCTTGATAGATAGCCTGCTAAATTTACATTAGCTTTGTACTTCGTAAACTAGAGGCAGAGTCACAAAAATCTTCCTATGAAAGAAGTCAAGAAAATTCTTAAGATAAATTCCGACAGGTTTAGATGATTTTTGAATAGATTTTAATATATATATATATATATATATATATATATATATATATTTCACTTTTTTAAATTTTTGAATAGTTCTCAAATATTTTCTTAAGAACATCTTCAAGAGCAATATTTCTTAAAATGTCAGTCTTTTATATTTTATAATTGTATACTAGTTTGCTCGTGGCTGCCTTATATAATACAACAATTTCAATGGTATATCTTTTTATTATGGTATATCTTAA